TCTTGCTTCCAGTACCCTAGTAGACCATTTAAGTACTGTGGTACCACTTCCATGACTCCATGGCAATTTAGCACCTGCAAGGCAGGGTGGAAAACTCCACCAGATTGTTGGATCGAACAAAATCCTGTTCAGAGCGTAACCGATATATCTCAATCCGTAGGCATACACCGATTTACACGTTGAATGACTAAATGAATAAACCGACTGCGAATACTGCTTTAGTTCTCATATCCACACAGAAATATGTTTTTCGTTTAGGCAACTTTAATTAATTATGTAGATAACAGGCCTCTCGATTTAAATAACAAAAAAAAATTCAAACTCGATTATGGATTGGATACGCAGGCTACTTGTTTTGAGCCATTCAAAATGTAGAAAATTTCATAGCAATATAAAAGTAGTATTAATCAGAAAGCTTGAGCTGCGGAATCGTGCGCTAATCAGTCCTTCACTGGTTCCCCAATTTTCAGCACCACATCGATAAACGTATAGAGATATCTGGATACATGGGCTCTTCACCACAATCACTTGTTAAAGATAAATTTTGGGAAAGTTACTTCATTGAAAAAAACTAATAAATTTTAGTACCATTAAAAATTAATCCATAAATTTCATAGCTGACTCATTCTCTGTTTAATCACATCATCAATATCTCAGTCTATAAGCACCATATGCAAATGTCACACTGCAGAAAATACAACCTTGAATTTGGTGATAAGCAGTAAGGTAGTAGCACGTAGGTCAGAAGTAATATTTAACTTAGAATGATTGTAATTAATTTACCAATAACACCAAGCGTGCACCTCCTCCAATCCAGATTTCACGACATATTTCATCATGTTCCTGGTTGCTTTAAGGGACATTAAAGCTGGTCATTACTCAATGATATTTGGCTACCTGCAGTGCATAGATTAATCAGGTATCTCATATTTAGCTAGGACGCTACTTGCTCGTCACCACTGGTACTGGAAGAGCCTGAGTTCTTAGAAGCTTTTCCTAAAGATCAGTAATACAAGTTCAAATCTATATACAAATATATCACGTATTGACTCTTCTAACCCCTGTTTCACGACGCACTGCACGGCCTATTTTCTAAGAAATGTTTGTTAAGGGGGAACCTTTAGTTGCAGCTCTCACGAGAGAGTTACAATAGGGAATAAACCTAATGAGCAAGGTATATTCTATTCAATCGAATATAGTCAATAGTCAAACAATTAAGACATCATTAATCTGGGCACTCTGCCTTTGACCCTGATGCCCCAGATGACGATGACAACAACAGCAGCAGCAACTCTATTCAATAAAGTGGTTCAGGATGTATCTATCGATTAGAGCAGCTAGATTTCAGAAATCGAATATTCCATTGCGAAACCAACTTTTAATGGAGCCATGCTCATATTAACACATTCCAGCGTACGATCACTTATTTCAATCCATATTTGTGCAACCCTATATCAATAAAGATAGAAATCGTCTCAAATTGCTTCGTTATATAAAGCCATTCACACTCAGTCAACACGCCGAACTTATGACTAATACAGCATCACGTGATTAACTTGGAATCTATGATTTATTCTGTGGTAGTAGTCAAAACACTCGTTTCAAAGTCATGTTTTCGGTAAAGCATGTAAAACCGGTCTCTTTCATTGTCCTTCCTCACAAGCTCTATAGTCGTCTAGATGTTGAGGTTCTGTTTATGCTG